CTCCTGAGGAGAAAAACTTTGGACTTGATATATGGAAGCACAGTCCTTGGACAGGACTTCATACTTGGAAAAGAAGAGAGAAGATCAAGGAAAGGAAAACATGATGAATTGACATAGTGACTAGAGCAATTGCCTTGGGCATCACTGAGATTGTGTGGACACTGTAGAATCCAGCAGAGTTTCATTCATTGATCAGAGTTGAATCAATGTCACCTAACAACAACATCAGCATCTCATTTAAAACAGTCTCAAGACCTTGTTCTCTATCTCCATTTCATGGGGGTGGGGGTGGGGATGGGGGGTGAAAAAGAATTTCTTCTTGTAGGCCATGAGCATTTCTACTCATAACAATCCTAGTGGACAGCGGGGAACTTCCCCATTGAGTTTCTTGGGCTGTAATCTTTACAGAAGCAATTTGGCAAGTTTTATGTTTTTGGGGTTTTTTTTTTCCCCCCTGTGGAACCATTGGTGGGTTGGAACCATTGTCCTTTTTGTTAAGAGCTGGGTTAACCATTGTGCACCAAAGCTTCATAAAAGGATCATTAACCCACTGCTATTGAAGTTCATTCCAACTCATAATAGCACAACAGAACCGAGTAGCTCTCCCTATGTTGTTGTTGTGTATCATCAAGTCAGGACTGACCCGTGTAGAACCGACCCCTAGCTGACCCCCCTGCAGGTTTTCAGAGGCAGTTCATGACATGGAAAGAGACTGCCCATCCTTCTCCATCAAAGCAGCTGTTGTATTCAACTACAGGCCGTCAGGGTTGCAGCACAGCTTCTTATCAGTAGGCCATCAGAGCTCCCTGTGGGTTCTCCACAACCTTCGTAGAAGCCAATTGTCACATCATACTCACTCAGAGTGGCTGAGGGATTCATACTGCTGACCCTTCCATTAGCAGTTGAGTGATGAACCATGGTGCCAGGGCTCTTAAGGACATGTTGTTGTTGTTGTTGTTGTTGTTGAGTCATAGGTGACTCATAGCGACCCTATGAAGGAAAGTCCTCAATACTTGTGTGACTTTTATCCTTTCTCCATCTTCATAGGGTTTCTGGAGGCAAGCTATTTCGGAAGTGGATGCCACTCCTGCTTCCAAGCTTGTTTTAATCAGGGAGCTCCACCAAACACTGTCCACCATGGGTAACCATTAACACATTTGGCATATCAGTGTCACAGTGTTCAGAATCACAGCAACCTTTGTACAAGTTACCTCTGTACAGCAAGTGGACAGACCAGGGCTATACGATCTAGAAGAATGTTTCACCAAAAACAATTAAAAACAGGCTTGAGGGCTGCAGATTAAAGTCACCCACCTTTGGCTTGGTAGCATCACTTTCAAGAAGGTAGATAAAAGGAGCACGGATGGTTCAACATGTAAGCCCTCAGCTACTAATGGGGAGATGTGAGATTTGAACCCACCAGCAGCTCCACAAAAGAATAAACATCATGATCTGCTACGGTGAAGACTTCAGCCTGGGAAGTGTGATGAGGAAGCTCTACTCTGTCCTGTAGGCTCACTATGCATTGAAATCTACACTGGACCACACAATAACTTGCCTGAGGCTATATGGAAGGTAAATTATGAAAGAAAAGAAAACCTGGATGTGTATGAGTCAGAGCTATCATATCTCTTTATCGAAGCTTTTGTTTCTTTTCATCTCACTTGATTGAATGTACACTGTCCTTCCCCTCTGATGGCTTGCCCTCTCTATATTTGAATGGGTCATTACTGTCAATGTTAACTGCCTGTGCTGTGTGGTTCAGCATGCTTTACACGTGCTCCTTTATCTGTTCTTGAAGTTGATCCCATGAGCAACTAGTACTTCACATGTCACTCCTGTCAAACTGCTGGGTATGCAGCTCGGATCATCTTCATGCAAAGGTGGAAACAGTAGCAAAAGAAACATAGCTCTTCTCCAAGTGGAATCCCAAAGGCCACATGTCAAAAATAATAGAGCTGTCTTTTCAGCCGAGCTAGCTTTGGCACACCTCACATCCCTTTGTCTAACCTTTCTCCCCTCCCCGGAGAGCAGTGTCCCTGGGAATTCCTACCATGCACTTTTCCCACTCGTCCTGGTGTCATTTAAAGGTGAACTTTCTAGATGGCTAAGAAAACTTTTTACTTCACTTTTGATACAGAGTCCTTTTTATCACTTTTGACCTTAAAGTGTAGCTTGCTATCTTTAAATTCTGTCATTACCCATTCAGTCCTTGCTGTTGAGTTGGAACCAACTCATAACTGACCCTCCCTCCGGCAGATTTCCAAGGCTAGAAATCATCTTTCTCCCGTGCAGCTTATAATGGACTTAACTCTACAGAGAGACAGGGCTTCCGGGTTAGCAATGGAAGTCCTTATGTTCTAGGCCATATATCACTAGCAAACTCAACGAACTTTTCCCAGGTGAACTCTAGGTAGATGTAGAGTTTATACTTGTGCAATTCAAAGTGCAGTCCATAGCCCAGCAGCATCTCATCACCTGGAACCTTATCAGAAATGCAGAATCTCAAGATCACCCCCATGCCCACTTTTACCTTCTTTAAAAAAAACCAGAGTCTGCATTTTATCAAGGCTCCTAAGGGATTGTAATTATATTCAACTTCAAGAAGTATAAGTCTAGAAAACTGTAGAGATTATGCATGAATTACCAGAGAATCATGTGGATTAATAAATATCAATTAAAATGATAATTACTTTTCATTTTAATTATCATTTTTAGAACAAAATTTACAGTTTCTAAAGAGCTCACAATGTTATTATCTCATGGAATGGCAACTTCTCAGTCCGTAGCCCCCATGGTCACGACTATCAACAGTCTATCGATGACTCTTCTTTAATGATTTTGAGTATTATCAACCCAGAGAGAGTGTTTGCTGGATCTCTCTGGTTGGTTGGGATCTTGCGGCCTTCCTCCAAACAGGCAGCATCAAAAGCACAAAAAATCTACCTGCCTGCCTGCCTAAGTCTGGGAGCCTCAGGACAGAACAGCATTATTAAATAACGTTTGCAATATAGGTTCCTCCAATTATCTTCAGGCAGGTGGATTGGCCTGAAGATTGAGCTTAGGATGGAAAAACTAGAACCCTCCTTCACTGTTGGTGGGAATTCAAAATGGTGCGACCACATTGGAAAACAACGTGGCAGTTCCTTATATGATTAAAGAGAGTTGTCATGCAGATCACTCATCGCTAGGCTAGAGATACACCCAACAGAATCGTAAACATTTACACTCTCAAAGATATATGCACAAATGTTTGTAATATAATATCCAGAAAATGAGGCCAATTGAAAAGACTATCACTTAATGCCTGAATAAGCACACCATGAGGCATCCATTGAGTGGAATAATATTTAGCCATAAAAAAGAATGAATCACTGATACATCCTCCGATGTGAAATAGTCTGGAAAGCATCAACATAAGTAAAAGATGCCAGTCACCAAAGACTAAGTGTTCAACAATTCTATTCTTTCTAAATGTCCAGAACAGAGGGAAGTAAGGTCCCCTGATGGCCTGGTGGTAAAGAATTACACTGCCAACCCACAGGCATGCGGTTTGAATCCACCAGCTGCTCTCTGGCATAAAGCGCAACTCTAACTCCTCTCTCTCTCTCTATCTCTATCTCTATCTCTCTCTCCCCCCTCCCTCCATCCATCCATCCAATGTACAGCTTTTGAAGCTTCTGAGAACCTGCTGGAGGGTCAGCTATGAGTTGATTCTGCTCAAAGGCATATAACAACAACAACTAGATAGAAACCTGATTAGTATATGCTTATGGACGAGGGGCTTTAGAAGACGGCAGATAGCTACAGGGCACAGAGGTTCTTTTTGAGATGATTTAAAATTGACTAATGTTATGGTTATTCTTATCTGTCAATTACTAAAATAAAGTGAATTCTATATTATCAAAAAGTAGATTATATGGCATGTTAACCTTTCAGTTAAAAAGTATAAAAAGATTACTTAGGACCTACTTTTATTTTATGAAAAAGCCTCCATCACCTCACCCCTGAGCATAGCCAGAGGGGGCATTATTGCTCCTCGTTGGCAGAGACTCTCAAAAAATCCACTTGTGTTGTTCTGTGGCCTGGGTCTGCACACTCTAGTGCTAACATTGAATCATGGTCTTTACCCCAAAATGACTCAAATGCTTCATTCCTCCTCCTTTGCATTTAACTTTGAAATCTCCTTCCATTCTGAGTCTAGCTTCAGCCACTGCACTTGCTTGGACAATAAAACGAGGCAAAAACGAGGAGTGCACATCTCAGGCTGGCTTTCAGGACTCTCTTGCACTTTGGCCACCCCGGTGAAAACACACCTGGATTAGGTCTGCTGGTCTGCTGAAGGCACATGAAAAACCAAGCTGCCTGGTGACTCTAGCTGAGACCAGCTCACTTAGTCACCAACCGGCTAAGACCAGCAGTGCCACCTAGTCAACCCACTTGCCTTAGTCTCACCAGCTTAACTGTTTATCAGACATGTCACTGTTGGTGGTTGTGTGTTTAGAAAGAAATAACTGAAATCCCAACTAACCGTTTAAGCTGAGCTTTCCATAATCATGACCATTTAAAAGTTTCTACTTATGTTATCATTTTCTCCTGATTTTTGTTACGAGAACTCAGAGGCAAGCAAAAGAGAGAAGAAAAAAAATCCCAAGTGAAAAAGTCAAGTCGAAACTCAAAATAGTGCTCGTGGTCAGCTTGACTATACACAACTCTTCTGCAGTAATTTTCAGATTACATACATGTAATATATTTCCCAGGAGGGCATGAACTGTTGACAGAACATCATGAAATACTGCTGCATTTCATACCATCTCATGTAGTAGACATAAAGTCACCAGTACGGGGTCTCTTTTCTCTCTAATCCTCTGTGTACCAGAGATAGAGATATAGAAAAAACACGACCACTCAGACCATTCATATTCAGCCTCGGAGTGAGCAGTTACCAAAATAAAAGGCAGCATGCATGCCTCACCAGCCCACATATGAAGGTGTATTACCTTGTTGGCGCATCTTCATGGTCCGTATCCTTATCGCCTCTCCTCGAACTCGCCCTTCACAGAAATAAGCACCATTGATTTTACTAGCCTTTTCTCTCTTCCAGACAACTTTTTTAGCCCATTCTCTGGTCGTGTCTTGAGTAACTTCCAGTGGATCTTGGTGTTGGTTCATTAGGGCTTCAAAGTCCCTTCCTATCGTGATAGGCTCATTCGGGTGCCACCCTGAGGCAATGCAGGTGAGGGATGTTTCCGCATCAGACACAAGAGGTAGAGAATTGATCAAGATCAGGTCCATGGCACCTTCCACTGCTCCTGTAAGGAAAGAGGAAGTACGATGGAAGATGTAGATGATTCTCACTGCCACACAGCATAGACTGGTGAGCTTTGTCTGAAAAGAGCTGTGGAATGGTCCTTCTAAAATGCTACTATACCAGATGCCTTGTTGGAGAAGGAGGACAATCTCCTCCTGTACCTGTCAGATCCAATTTGATGGTACACACACACACACCCCTAAAATGCTACTATAACCATGTGACTTCCTTCCATAGGATAAAATCCAAACTTTTCAATGAGATACCAAGACCATTCATCACCTATATCCCCTACAAACTTTTCCTGCTCCACTGTTAGCCCCAACAAACTAACAATTATTCTTAGTTTCCTATATAAGTGTCATGCTATATATTTCAGTCCCCTATAGGGAGCTCTGATGGCATAGTGGGTAAAAAGTTTTACTGCCAACACCAAGGCATGTAGTTCGAATCCATCAGCTGCTCCAAGGAAGAAAGATGGACAATCTCCTGTGTGATTCACAGCACCTCATAATTTGTTGGAGGGTCAATTATGAATCATTTATGACTCAACAGCACTTGACATAGTGTCTAATAAAACACAAAAACATAAATAATAAAACATAGTGTCTAATACTTGTTAAGGCAAATGGAATATACAATATGGCATGCATTGCCACAATATTCTAAAGAAGCATATAAATGATGAGTACTGTCTGCTAACTTCAGGTTTATCTATATAACACTTGGTTTCACAAAGGACTTTATAAATATAAAAATTTTCAAAGAATTGCTCAAATGCACAGTAAATATTGCAAGATAAAGTGGAACAACATCTAAGTGCTATCTACGTTTTCCTCTGAGCCCCATTTGCCTTATCTTTAAAAGAGCATATAAAACCTGTCTTAGAGAATTCATGTAAAGATTCATTGTAGTAAGATACATAATTCATGAAGCATTCTGTCTGTCACTTATTGGATGTCCAACTAGATTCAGCTCACTGCCTTTGTGTCTATTATGATCCATAGCAACCCTTCATTGGGGTTCTAAGACTACAAATCTTAACTAGAAGAGATTACCCACCTTTCTCCTTCAGAGCTGCTGGTGGATTTAAACCACTGGAGATGTCATCTCTTAGTTTGCATGCAGCACATGATACTATAGCCTACATCAACCGAGCTCCCATTTTTTCCTGTCTCTTTATTTCTTGAACATTTAACCTCAAACCTTACTCTCCCCATGAATGTAAAAGCAAGATCTCATGCATACTTTAAAATAGATTTCTAAAATAGAAAGTAACTAATTTAAGAAATGGATTGTTCTGTTGTTTTGGTTTTTTCCACTTTCCCTGTTCTTGCTCTCTCCCTCTCACCCGTCTCTCACTACCTTTTCTGTTTTGACTATAGAAGGCTCTCATGTGAACAAATGGAATCTGTGTCTATTCTCTCTTTAAATAATGGAAATATCTAAGGCAGAGAATGTACTCTGGTTTCAGTGGAGGTTGGCCCTCCTGTCAACATAACATAAATAGATGGATTAATCAGATTGTGATAAAGACAAAGCTAGACTCTGAGATTTTGATATAATGGAAAGTGATTCAAGTAAGGTACATCTTTTCTCATTTATGGTTGTTATCAGATGCCATCAAAACCACTACAATATATAGCAACTCAGTGAACAATACAGCAAACCTTTTCTCATCCTCATCATCTCCGCTATTTTATACTCACTAAATTCACTCACAATTAAGGGAAAAATGCTGCTACCTGGAGAGAACAGGGGAACACTGTATGTTTAACTCAGGAAATTACGAATCAGGGTTGTATCCTTTCTCTATACATATTCAATTGGCATGCTGAGCAAATCATTCAGGGAAGCTTCATCAACAAACTGCATTGTGCAGATGACACAACTTTGCTTGCAGGAAGTGAAGACAACTCTAGGCATTTGCTGCAGAAAAATCAAGGAGTACAGCCTTCAATATAGGTTATATTTTGGCATCAAGAACACAAAAATGCTCACTAGTAGACCAATACACAACATCATGGAGAATGATTCAAGTTGTCAATGATTTAGTTTTGTTGGGATCCACAATCAACACAAATAGTAATAGCACTCACGATATCAGAAGACAAGTTGCATTGGAAAAAGCATGCTATTAAAGATGTCAGTTTAAAGATTAAGCTGCATCTGACCCAAGTCATAGTATTTTCAATTGCTTCCTATGCTTCTAAAAGTTGTACAATGAATAAAGAAGACAGAAGAAATGATGCTTTGATTTGTAGTGCTGGAGAAGAATACTTAATATGCTATGGGATGCCAAAAGAACAAAAAGGTCTTTGTTAGAGGAAGTGTAACCTAAGTGCTCCTTAAAGGTAAGGATAGTGAAACTTGATCTCACATACTTGGGGCATGTTGTTAGTCTTTGGGAAAAGGTATGCTGAGCAAAGTAGTGGGTCAGAGAAAGAGAAGACACTCAACAATATGGCTTAACACAGTGGCTGTATATCAGAGTTAGTGAAGATGGCACTGGATAGAGCAGAGTTCCTGTTTGTTCTTCTTAAGAAACAATGAAAGTTATACAAGTGTTCAGGTCTTTCATTCATAGGGTCATTATGAGTCATCTACAACTTGACAGCACTTAACAGCAACAACAATGAGAGAGTTCTGTTGGCTTAGTGGATAGAAAGTTATGCTACCAAGCCAAAGGTGGGTGATTTTAATCTGCGGCTCTTCAGCCCGGTTTTAATTGTTTTTGGTCATTCTTCTAAGTGGTATAGCACTGGTCTATCCATTTGCTGTACAGAGGTAATTCGTGGTTGATGTGATGATAAATACTGTGACACTGATGCATCAAATGTGAGAATGGTAACCCCTGGTGAAGAGTGTTTGGTGGAGCTCCCCGATTAAAACAAGCTTGGAAGCAGGAGTGTCATCCAATTCTGAAATAGCTTGCCTTTGGAAACTCTATGAACTTGGAGAAACAATGAAAGTTATACAAGTGTTTAGGTCTTTCGTTCATAGGGTCACTATGAGTCATATACAACTCGACGGAATTTAACAACAACAAGGTTGCTATGAATTGTAATTGACTCAATGGCACATAACAATAACAACAAATTCTTTCAACAATGCTTGTTCTACCTCAATTTTTAAAATGCATAAATAAAGTCTCAAAAAGTTTAAGTGGCTTTCTAGAAGTTTCTTAGCTATGAAGAAAGAACTGAGATTTAAGTTCTCACTCACCATGCCGTTTTCTACCTCACAGCCTTTGAACACACTGTTCTCTCTGCCAGCATTCTTTTCTCTCTGCTTGACTAATTCCTGCTTGTCCTTTGATCTAATCTTAAGTGCCACTTCCTAATAGAAGCCTTCTTTATCCACAACATCTGTACATACTTTTATCCCATTGTTCTCTAACTCTCGTTTGTGTCCTTCATAAAAATTACCCCAATGTGACTATTTTCTTTACTCTCTCTTTCTCTAGATGATAAGTTCAACAATGACAGGCATGGAGGCTACTGTGTTCACAGCGATTTCTACACAAACATCCTATCAACACAGTGTTTGGTATACAGATGTTGCCCTGCATTATCAAGTTGGAACTAACTCATAGCTGACCATCCAGTGCATTTTCAGAGGCTGTAAATAGTGCAGGAAGAAATGGCCCATTTTCCTCCATGGTGGATTCAAACTGTATGCCATTGGATTGGTCACCATTAGGTTGCCATAGAACTTAATAAATATTTGTTGAGTAACTAGATCAATGGATTGATAAAGGTTTTTCCAGATCTGCCTGATTCAACTCTATTCCTTCACTTAGCTGGTTGGTTTTGTTGTTGTTTTTTTTTTTCTGCTGTTATTGTTATGTGCAATCAAGTCACCTGTGACCCATAGCGACCCTATGTACAGCAGCTCTGAAGCCTGCCCTGTTCTGAGACAGTCTCACTGGCACTGGCACACCTACCTCCATTGCCCCAGTTATTGTATCAATCCATCTTATCCAGGGTCTTCCTCTCCTGTGTTGTCCCTCTACCTTTCGAAGCATGATGTCCTTCTCCAAGGACTGGTCCTTCCTGGGCGTATGCCCAAAGTAGGTGAGAGGGAACTTCAAAATCCTAGCTTCCAAGGAAAACCTTGGTTTCACCCTCTCCGAGTTTTCTTGGTGGTCCATGGTATGTTCAAGACTTTTCTCCAGCACCACAACTTGAAGGCATTGATTCTTGTTATCCTTAGTCATTGTCTAGCTCTCTGATGCATAGCAAGTAATTATGAAGACCATGGCCTGGATCAGACACCTCTTAGTCTCTAGAATGACATCATTGTTTTTCAATAATCTAGAGAAGTCCCTGACAGCAGATTTTCCCAATGCAATTCATCTTTTGATTTCCTGACTGCTGGTACTAAGAGTTTTGATACTCTTCTATAGTTAAAAATAAAAGTGCTCTCCTGAGTCTTAACTGACTTTTTTGTGTACATGTAACTACTTTTTAGTTAGGCCATGCTTACTGACTACATAGAGATGGGTGAACCCCCCTTCCACCCCCAGACTATGGCCTTTATCCATCCTTTGAAAATGGAACAAAATTCACCCTCATGTCTAAAGTATAAGCCAAGCTATACATAGTCTTTTAAGAAGAATAATCACACCAGTGAGGCACTTATCTCTTAGAAAAACCAATCACAAAAGGTCCAAAGAGTAGCATTTGTCAAAGGATAAAGTCCTGAAGTGGAATGGGGTAGGATGGAAAGATTAATGGAAATGAGAATTACAGTAAGGAAGTGGGGAAAGGGCAATGACATTGTGGGTACTGTAACTAATGTTATTAAACAAAATGTGAATGTCAGAGATGAAGTCTTCGTACATACCTATTCAATTTGTATTCTGAGCAAATTATTTGAGGAGTTAGATTCTATGAAGAAAAATGTTGGCATCAAGATAGGGGGAAGACTAACTGGCTATAGAAAGATTTACATTAATAATACATTTTTAAAATACTGTAAAAAAAGAAAAATAAAAGA